TCCAGCCTCCAGGTACTAGCATGAGGCTTAGGTTTAAATATAGGGCAAGAGATATGCATAACTAAGTGGTCCTGGTCAAGGTATGTCCCCACCCACCACTGACACACAGTGTGTCCTGCCAGGTGACCTGATAACTTGTCTGGTACCCACCCCCTTGTATAGTTCCTGCACCTTGAGTATGAGAGCTGTGACCTGCTTCTGACCACAAGTATAGGAAAAGTGATAGAATGTGCATGATCTCATGCACATGAGGTAATCCTCTTCCTAAAGTCATAGCACTTGTCTTTGAGGAGTCTTCATCCTTGAAGAAGGGAGCTGCTGTGGCCAGGGTCAAGGGTTAAATACCTAAAAGCTTCTTTCATTGTTCTGATGAAAGGAAAATCTGCTTCTGGACAGGTTATCTGGGTTTTCTTTTATTTCCAAATTGCCTTTAACAATTCTGATATAACAACGGGGCCCATATATCAAAAACCAGAGGTCAAGCCAGGTGTGTTGGCACATACCTTTGATCTTAGCACTTGGGAAGCCAAGATAGGAAGATATCTGTGAATTCAAGGCCAGCCTGGTCTACATAGTGAGACCATGTCTCAAAAAAACATGAAACAAAATAAAATAAAGAAAAAAACCCAGGGTTTTTTTTTTGTTGAAGAGCTATATATGGATGGCTTTCATCCAGTAGCCAACATGAAGAAAGGTTTTCATCCCTAACACCGCCAGAGAAGACCACAGTCCCAGCCAATACCATCCATGAAACTCTGTGAGCCCCTGAGCAGAGTGTTCTGCTCAGCCATGCCTGGACTCCAAATCCTCCAGAAGCAATGAGGTCATAAATATGCACTGTGAGTTGTTTGTTTTGTAGTAGTGGTGAGTTTTCTTTTGAGGAGTGTTAGTGTAAGATAGTCCTGGGTGGCCTGAGAGTCACTATGTAGACCAGGCCTCAGACACAGAGATTTTCCTGCCTCTATCTCACAAGTGCTAGGATTAAAAGTGTGTGCCATAGCTGGGCACAGTGGCACACACCTTTAGTCCCATTATTCTGAAGGTAGAGGCAGAGTTAGAGGTCAGGTCGGTGTACATAGTGAGTTCTAGGAAAGCCAGGGCTGCACAGCGAAACAGTGTCTCAAACAAACAAACAAACAAACAAACACAACAAAACCAAGTGTGTTGATCATATCCAGTTGTGTGTCTGTATATGTTGCCTGCATGTATGTCTATGCACTATGTGTGTATTTGGTGCCTACAGAAGCCAGAAGATGGGACCTGATCCCCTGGAACTGGAGTTACATAGGACTGTGCATCACAATTGAGTCCTGGGAATCACACCTGGGTCCTCTGGAAAAGCAGCCACTGTCACCGTGCCAGCTCCAGTTTCTGTTAATTCATGAATTCTATTGTAGACTTACAGTCATATACAATAGAATCCTGATAAATGGAGAGTGGCAACTCTTGAGGAAATACGGTTGTCCTTAATTGTCTGCAACTCACCAAATTACACCTAATAAACTCACTCACTCATCAGTAAGAACTTAAATTGAGTCCTTCAGGCTGTTGGCGACACCCTAGGCTCCTCATAAAGATCATACAACAGCTATTTATTATGAAATAACAAATCACACTGAACCATGCATCTTAAAACAATGAACACTTATAACTGCTCGGTATACAAGGAATAGAAATTCAGAAACAGTTTGGCTTTGTTGTTACGGCTCAGAGTTGTAACAAAATGGTCAGTAGAGGCTTCAACTATAAGAAAGCTTGAAATCAATGCTAGGGAGATGTCTCCTTGTGTAAAGTGTGTGCTGAGCAAACATGAAGATCAGAATTCAGGTTCAGCAAGTGGGCATGGCGGCTGGCATGTAATCCTTGGTAGTTAGACTTAATGGACCAGCAACCTTTGGATACAGGTGGGAGATGCTGCCTCAAAAGAATGTGGATGCTGTTCCACATTCACACATGCATCTGCACACATATGTGCATACACACACACACTATATGTGTGTGTGTGTATATATACATACCACCATACACATACACATCATCCCAAAACTTATAGAGTCTGGGAAATAGTTCAATTGGTAAAGCATCCACCATGCAGTATGAAAACTTAAATCAGATCTCCAGCACCCATGTAAAAAAGCTGGGACCAATGTAAAATTGTTAGGCACAGCAGCTTACATCTGTAACCCCAGTACTGATGCAGAGACAGAGAGATCCCTGAAGCTAACCAACTTGTCACGTGAGCTAAACTGATGAGTTCCAGGTTCATGAAAGATCCTGTCTCAAAAATAAGGTGGAGCGTGATCAAGGAAGACGTCCAGTGTCAACTTGTGGCCTCTACACTAACAAGCACATGTGTGCATGAGTACCTGCACAAATATATGCACACATTCTGGTAAATAGATTCATTTACCACACACCACAGGGGGTGGAGGAAGAGGAAAAAATTGACTGGTGGAACTTTTCAATGGTACAAGTGCTCATGGGTCCCCCACACTCTTGCAACTCCAAGAAACTCATTAATTCTCAAGCTAGACTTGCCAGAATCTTTTTTTTTTTTTTTTTTGGATGTGGTGGTTCCCTCTGTATATGAGGAAAATAGACACTTCTTTTATGCTTCATTACAAAAGTCATTGGGTACTACACTCAATTCCAGGTGCCAGCCTGGTCTACAAAGCCAGTTTTTAGGATAGCCAGGGCTATACAGAGAAACTCTATGTCAAAAGAAGAGAAGGGGGGGGGGGAGGAGGAGGTGGAAGAGGAAGAAGAGAAGAAGGAAGAGGAGGAGGAAGAAGATGAGGAGGAGTAGGAAAGGGAAGATGAAGAAGCAGGAGAAGGAGGAAGAGGAGGAGGAGGAGGAGGAGGCGGTCATTCAACATGGAGCCTACCTCTTTCTTTCACAGAGGTTCTCTGATGGGAGGGATACTCCATTTTGGTATAGCACCACGGAGAACCCCCAACATGTCAGTTGTTCTTGCCACAGCTTACAGAGTTATGCAGGGGGGATGTAAGGGAAGTTTCAGGGACTTGAAGCTGCTGGGCCCCCTTTCAACCAAGCAGCTAACTCCTGTGGGTCTCTTAGGGGATGTCTCTTAGGGCCACATACCGCTCCTGTCAACACCACAGCACTGGCTCAGGGATTTCACTGGGCGCAGAAGATGGTGATAAAAATGAGGCCTTTAGATTCCTACACAAAGGACCTGACTTTCTTTGCCAGCAAGTTGTAGAGAAGTTCAAGTCTACAAACATTTTCAAAAACAGTGGTGAGGTGGGGTTAGGAGGTGGCTCAGTAATTAAAGTGTTTCCTGCAAAAAGAGTCAGGGCCAGAGGCTAGATCTTAGGAAACACAGGTAAATGCCGTCTGGGCATGGTGACTTCCCTGTAAATCTAGGCCAATAAGAACTCCAGAGCAAGCTGGTTTACAAGATGAACTATACTGGCAAGCTCTCGATTTGAGTAAGAGACCCCACCTCAGAAGAGCAATGGAAGAGGATCTTAACATCAACCTCAGCCCTCCACAGGCAGGCACACATGTGCAAATGCACTTACACACATTCACCCACACACATCCAAAAACATGTACATTGCACACACAAGGAAATGGAAGAAGAAAAGAAAAAGTCAAGGATTGTGAGAGGCGGTTTAGAGGAAGATGATAGAATCCAGAGAGGTAGGTATGCTACATAATAGGTTGCCTGGTCAACTGGAGAGAAATTATAAAAAAGAAAAAAGAAAAAAAAGAAAGAAAGAAACTGAAGAATTCTCCTAGAATCTGAAGGATCTCAAACATTTACTTAGTGAAAATTTCCTTCAAAGTAGTCTCAGTCTGGAGACTGGATCAGCTTTTGGAGAAACTTATATCCTAGACTATTGTAGAAATAATGGAGCATTCAGCCTACAATTAGTGGAGCTTTACAGCCACGTGTGGTCAGGGAGAGTCTGTCAGTCAGAGAGCCCTACCAAGGCCATTGCTATCCCAGAGTGCCTAGGTACACAAGATTGTTTTAGGAAGTGATAACAAAGGCTTCAAACACCACTTGGTTCAAATGCCATTCCCTAAAAAGCAAGTAACGAAACCATCTGCTTCCAATAAAAAAATGAAAGATAGGGAAGCAGTAAAGTATGTCTAATAAGCTAGTGGGAAATCAGGTTTGACTGGGATGAGGGTTCAGAGACTTTGCATTTCAAAAGCTCTGGGAAGGGGCTGGAGAGATGGCTCAGTGGCTCTTTCAGAGGTCCTGAGTTCAATTCCCAGCAACCACATGGTGGCTCACAACCACCTGTAATGGGATCTGATGCCCTCTTCTGGTGTGTCTGAAGACAGCTACAGTGTACTCATATAAAATAAATATTTAAAAAAATGATTAAAAAAAAAAGCTCTGGGAAGATTTCTTCCCTCTGTACAAACAGTGGTAAATATCTTCTTGGTTCAAGTATCGTTCTTATATGGCCTTTAACGGCTGAGGCTAAAGCAATATGCATTACTGAGCTGTCATGCCAAACATGAAATAGGTAACAGAAACAGTAAAACAGTAACCTAGCCCTAATTCTTTGTCTAGCTATAGTTTCCCGTCAGTAATCATATTTCCTTTCCTGAAAGAAAAGAAAACAAAAACAAAAACAAACAAAAAACACATGGGGAAACAAAAGACTCAAGGGACTCCCACTTTGCATAACTTGCTCGGTTTCAAACACTAAGATATCACTGTGTCCAGCAGATGGCAACTCAGAGCACAGCCAACAGCAGGCGCAGGATAAGGAGCCGAAACTACATACCCACAATGCTGTGCGAAGACTCAAAGTCCCGAACTCCTGTTTGGCTGTCTAAGATGATGCCTGTGCGCACTGCTGAGGGAATGTGTGTACTGAAACAATATAGGTTCTCGTCCTGCCTTCAGAGCGCAAAGTTCAATTCATTTTTAAATTCAGTAACTCGTCTTTAGTTGGAGAGCTGTATGCCTGTAATAAGACTGCTTTTTTTGGCCTCACCCTAGCCCAACACGAGGGCCCTTGACTTCTGACCCAAAATGGCAGCGCTCAGAGCGTAGTTCTTTGCTTCTCCGAGGTGAATTTAGATTAAAATCCTACATCATGTCGAAGCTAAGCCGGGTCACTCGGACCCTCAAGAAGCCCGAGGCTGGCGGCGTGATCCGGTCCATCGTGCGAGCAGGCCAAGCTATTCCTGGGCCTCCACTAGGTCCCATCTTGGGTCAGGTGCGGTTTCTGGAACCCGGCCTGGGAGACGTGGGAGAGTGCTCTCGAGCCGGGGAAGTCTCCTTTATAAACGTGTCTCTGCTAGTCACACCTTCAGACCTTATGTCCTTGTATTACTTACGTAGCTTCTTTTGACCTCAGCATCTCTGACCCCCAAGTTGGCTAGTTGCTGATTAAATGGAACCTTGTGGATGAACCGCCTGGAAGCCAAAGCTGTAGTTGAACCTAGATATAAGAAATATAGGAACACCAAAAAAATGAAGATGAAGGAGGGAAGGGACAGGGGCACCTGGTTGGTAGAAAGCCTTCAGCTCCGTACTTAACTTTGTATCTGTTCCTCATAGCGAGGTGTCTCTATCAACCAGTTCTGCAAAGAGTTCAACGAGAAGACAAAGGACATCAAAGAAGGCATTCCCCTGCCTACAAAAATTTTTATAAAGGTACAGAGAAACTCATTCTCCCATGTACTTCCTTGGCGCTTGAAACTGGTTACCTTGGTTGCTTCTGTGTCTCTAACTTGGTTACCATCTTCCACTTCTCATTTACACAGAAGCCTAGACCGTAATTTCTCTGAACTGACTTGATCCTGCTGTATTGTGGTTCTTACTTCACTGGGCTTCCAGAGGAGAGTTGGGCTGGGAATAAAAATGACAGGGATGTGTGCTGTAAATTTGTTTTTACTGTCTTTTGTGGTGTGCAAGTTGTTGGGAGAAGGAAAGGGACATTAGAAATGTCTTGGACCCAATCAAAAACCAAGAAATTCTCATGTATCTTTTTCTATTAAGCCCGACAGAACATTTGAGCTCAAGATTGGGCAGCCTACTATTTCCTACTTTTTGAAGGCAGCGGCTGGGATCGAGAAGGGGGCCCGGCAAACAGGTGAGGACTAAAGTGGGCACCTGAGATTCTGGTGTATCCAGAGAAATGTAGTGGCACTCAAAGAATTCCTTGTTCCTTCTTCCCAGGGAAAGAGGTGGCAGGCCTGGTGAGTTTGAAGCACATATATGAGATTGCCTGTGTCAAAGCTAAAGACGATGCTTTTGCCATGCAAGACGTGCCCCTGTCTTCTGTGGTCCGTTCCATCATTGGCTCTGCCCGCTCCCTGGGAATTCGTGTGGTGAAGGAGTGAGTATCTTGAGAGGAATGGTATGCAGAGGAACCCAAAAAAATTCTTGATTTGGGAGTAAAGCTGAGAAGACCCATTACAGTGAAATAGTCAGGGTTTTGTTTTGTTTTAATTTATAGCATATGTTAGTTATGCATACTAAGCTTCATTGTGACATTTTCATACATGTCTAGCATTCTAGCAGATTCTAGCAGAAGGATATGGGATGAAGTCTCATCTCGTTTGGAATATACTTCATAAGTACCTGTTCTGTGCTAGATGTGGTTCTGGGCACTGGATAGAACCAGGGATGAACAGTGGTGCTTGGCCACTCTGGAGAAATGTGAAGTCCTAAAATAGAGGCTAAAATAGATCCATACAGAGAGGCTTAGACTAACAGGTGGTCAGTGTTATAAAGTCAATGGATGTCGTGAGAGCAGAGAGGAGAGTTCCTGCTTTTACTTGATGTGTCATTGAGGACTCTTGAAGGGAGGTGACATGGAAGCAGCCCAAGAAAAGGAGGGTAAGAGAGGGTAAGATTACAGTGAACAACGAGAGGTAAGGGGCTGAAGCTAAGTTCATTGTGGTCTAGGAGTCTTGTCTAGAGGCAGATGGGATATGGCCTGAGGGAGGGACCAGTCCGAAGGGCCTTTTGAGACCCTTTTGAGGGTACATTCAGACTCAATCCTAAGGCCAACAACCACCCCAGTCAGCTGGCTTTGGATGAGCTCAGGATTTGTTTCTTTCAAGTAACTTGTCAAGTGGAAGAGCATTTGGCCCAGAGCATAGCAGAGACAGGAGCAGGGTCAGTCATCACTGGCAGTTTGTTGCTGGTGTCATTCCCTACAAGGCTGGCATCAGTTGTTCCTCACGGGTTGGGGTTAGAGCACAATCCGCCTGGATGGTTTTTCAAATCTTTACTTTGTGGGACACAGAGGTAAGTAGATCAGATCTACATACAACCCTGTGACTCCCTCATGTGAAGTGTGTGTGGCTCCAAGGAAGGCCTAGGAAATCCCAGTGGTCTAGTAGAGGCCGCAGGGTAAGTAGGTAGGACTTGAAGACAGGAGTCAAGGTAGAGGAAGGTAGAGTGTGTGGGCTGTGGTCCCAGGCAGAGAAACCACAGATGAGCAGAGGTACGAAAGTTGGAAAGTCCAGGGAGGAAAATGGGCAGGGCAGCTGGGGTCTGAACCAGGACCAGCCCCTCACTGACCATCTGTCTCTACCTGTAGCCTCAGTGCAGAAGAACTGGCAGCTTTCCAAAAGGAACGAGCCGTGTTTTTGGCTGCTCAGAAAGAGGCCGATTTGGCAGCCCAGGCAGAAGCTGCCAAGAAGTGACCCCAACTTTCTGTACTCTGGGAATTTGAAGTGAGAGGCTGAGAAGGGGCCCACTGAGGAAGCTGAGCCAAAGGACTTCATGCAACCCTATTTACAGCTTCCTGACATATTTCTATACATATGCTGTGCCGAGGGATCCAGCCTGAATAAACATTCTTTGTCATCAACTTTCATCTTCTCTCCTGAGACCCCAGAGATGGGGACTAATACTGACAGTTACCAGCCTTCACAGGTGTCAGCTGCCCCATTCCAGTTCCATGAACAGGAATCCTTCTCCTTGTGTGAACACAGGCTCGACCAAGGAAATTACCATGCCCGGTGCCTTGGTCGGCCTTGTATTGTTACATCAAAATAACCAAAGTGTGGTATTTTATAAAGAAAAGGGATTTATTTGACTTCTGATTCATGGTGCTGGTGTCTGGCAAGAGCTCACTGGGCTGCATCGCAGCGTGGTAAAGTGGGAACAGTCACAACATAGGGCCGTCTGTGTGAGGTCGCCTCACCTGAAACAGTCCCCACCCTAAGGCCCACATTAATGAAGGTTGAACTCCCAGCACCCTCCACTAGACCACACTTTTAAAAATTAGATTTATTCGTTTTCTTTTATATGTGACTGTTTTGCCTCTATGTATGTATGTGCAACATATATGTGCTTGTTGTCTGTTAGAAGAGAGTATTGGATCCCTGGGAACTGGATTTATGGGTAGTTATGGACCAGTATGTGGATCCTGGGAGTTGAACCTGGGTTCTCTGTAAGAGCAACAACAGATAAGTGCTCTTAACTGCTGAGCCATCTCTCCATTCCACAAGACCCATTTTTTTGAGATAGGCTCTCACTATGCAACTCTGGATATCCTTGAACTCACAGAGATCCACCTGTCCCTGCCTCCCACATTGCTGGGATTGAAGGCACATGTGTACCACCATACCAGGCATAGGCCCCACTCCTTAAGGATTCCACCACCTACCACACTGGGAACCAAGCCTTCAGCCCATGAGCCTCTGGGAAAGAGGTCCTAACATTCAGGCTCTTGAGTAGAGGCCAGGGAGAAATCCCATGTTCGGGGTTGAAGATGTAGTTTCTTGGTAGAGCTGCTGCTTATGCAAAGCCTCGACTTCTATTCCCAGCACGTCAAAGCAGATTAGCCTGTGTTCATCCCTCAGGGACAAGAGGGCACAGTTGATGGGGTCCACAGACACTAAGGCTTAGGCATGTTGCTTGTCTCTCCTTAGTATAAATGTTGGGGAGTGTCTACCTAAGAAATAGAACCCTGTCAGAGGATTCAGATCACAGATATGCTTATTTCTAGATACAGGGGCAACTTCATGCCTCTCTAATAAGTTGATATGTTTTGTTTTTGAGGCAGGATCTCATTATGTAGCCTTGGCTAGCCTGAAACTGGCTGGCTATGCATGCCAGGTTATCCTCAAAGTCTGCCTGGCTTTGCTTCTGAGTGCTCAGGTTAAAGGTGTGCATTGCCACACCCAGCTCCTTACTATGGCTGGTTATTTGCTTTTTAAAAACTTGCCATTTGGTGCTGGAGAGATGGCTCAGAGGTTAAGAGCACTAGCTGCTCTTGCAGAGGTCCTGAGTTCAGTTCCCAGAAACCACAGGATGGCTCACAACCATCTATATAGTGAGATCTGGTGCCCTCTTCTGACCTGCAGGTGTACATGCAGGCAGAACGCTGTATACATAGTAAATACATCTTTAAAACTTGCTGGTTTTTTTTGTTTTGTTTTTGGTTTTTTGTTGTTGTTGTTGTTGTTTTTAGTGCCGTTGGAGATGAAACCCAGGGCCTCGTCCAGCCAGTGCCAGAGCTGTGTCACTCTCAGCTCTGCCTCTGCCAAGTTTCTGAGTCTACCCTGGGTCAAGGAGAACAACTGAATCGCAGCCCCAGACCTACATAAGTGAAGTTCCAGTAGATGCCTGCCTGAGAAGTCCTTGGGGACACTTGGCTTGTCTGAGAAGTCCTTGGGGACCCTTGGCCTGCCTGAGAAGTCCTTGGGGACCCTTGGCCTGCCTGAGAAGTCCTTAAGGACCCTTGGCCTGCCTGAGAAGTCCTTGGGGACACTTGGCTTATCTGAGAAGTTCTTGGGGACCCTTGGCCTGCCTGAGAAGTCCTTGGGGACCCTTGGCCTGCCTGAGAAGTCCTTGGGGACCCTTGACCTCCTGTTTTCCCATTCTATAGAACATCCAGTGTTCTCTCAGAAGTGAGGCAGAATTGACAGGAGAGGTGGAAGTTGTGTTTGCCATGTGTTACATGCTGGACATTATTTTTTGTTTGTCAACATTCTGGATAACAATTTAGTCAATTTTTCACATAGTATTAATAGTTAAACATTGTTTACTAATACAATTAGTACTGTTTTATCATATGTGTATAATCTATTATATACATATAATGTATATAATATATATATCTTTATACACTATTACCTTTTACTGTTGAGATATAATATAATCACATTATTTCTCCCTCCCAACCCTTTCATATTCCTGTCTTTGTCCTTTCATATTCATGGCCTCTTCTTTCATCAGTTATTATTTGCATATAGGTATATGCATATATATTTGTAAATATAACCTGTATAATGTTACTTGTATGTACGTTTTCAGGGCTGACCATTTGGTATTGGATAACCAGTTGACATGCTTGTCCCTAGAGAAGACCCTTAGCATTCCTTAGTTGCCTTTGCTTGTGTGTCAGGCTGAGGTCTCACAGGCTTTCCCTCATCCACCTTGGTATGTCTATTGTGGCATCTTTGTTTGGCTCGTGTTTACGCAGTCATGTTAGGGAGACTTTTGGGTGTAGCTTCTGTGGTTACTAGAAGACACAATCTCACAGTAAACTTCCTAGTCCTCTGGCTCAGACAAGATTTTCACCCCTCTTCTGAAACACTCCCTGAGCCTTATCTGGGGGTGCTTTCTAGATGTGTCCACTGGTACTGGGCTCCACAACTCTACATTTTGATTGGTTGTGATTTTCTGTACTGGTTTCTGTCTTACAAAGAAATGTTTACTTGGTAAGGGGTGAGGACTACGCTATCTGTGGACGTAAGAACAAATGTCTAAATTGTTAGGGATTATGCTGGTTTAGTAAAGTAGTGGTTATACATCCTACTCAGGATCCATGACCTCACTAGCTCTGAGTCGGCTACATTTCCAGTGTCGGGCATGGTTTCCCTCTTGTTGGGTAGGGCTTAAGTCCAGTAGGCATCTTTGGTTACCACCAAGGAAGAGGTGCCACGATTGCACTCTTAGCTCTGCCTTGCTGTTTATTGAGATTGTTCATAGGTGTCATGGCTGGGGAGAACCATTGGTGGTCTCTCTCCCTGGCACCATGAGAGCCGGTCCTCAGGAAGGATGTTTTCAGTTCAGTACTGAATACACTTTTCACACTTGAAAAAATTTGGAAAGTGTTACAAAGCATCTATAAGAAAATAAGACTAAAGTGGCTCCGACTGTAAGGCACTTGCTGTACATGCATGAGAATCTGAATTCAGTCACCTAGAATCCACATGAAAAGGTTGACTGTAGGGATGGAGAGATGGCTTGGGTTAAAAGCACTGTCTGTTCTTCCAGAGGTTCAATTCCCAGCATCTACAGGTAGCTCACAACTATCCATGGGATCTGATGCCCTCTTCTGGCATAGAGGTGTACATGCAGAGAGAGCACTCATAAATAAATAAATCTTGAAAAGAAAAAAAGAAGAAAGTTTAATTTGCTGGGCAGCGATAGAACATACCTTTAGTCCCAGCATTCAGGAGGCAGAGACAGCAGTGATTAAGGCCAGCCTGGTCTACAGAGTGAGTTCCAAGGCTGCACAGAAAAACCCTGAGTTGAAAGACGGGAGAAAAAAAAAAGAAAAGGTTGATTGTGAATAATCCTGGAACTATCACAGTCACTAGGAAGGCAGAGTCAGGATTCCTGGGGTCTGCTGGCTAAGCATAGTCAACGAAGGCTACAGCACATGAACTTTTGAGTGCAGCACAAATATCTCCGGATTCAGTGAGAGACCCTGACTCAAAAAATAAGGTAGAGATGAGGCTGGAAAATGGCTCAGCAGTTACGAGCACTTGCTGTCCAATTATAAGTGTTGGAGTTCTGAGCCTGGCACCCACACTATTTCTGAATCAAGCTGGGCACCTAGCAATGACTGTAACCCTAGCTCTGAAGAAGGCTCAGAGACAGGATTGTTGAGGCTTGCTTTCCTCCAGCCTTGACAAGAAAATAGCCCCAGGACTAAGTGAGCCCTGCTCAAAGGGAGAGTGAAGGATGGTACAGGAACAACATGAGGCCCTTGGCTGGACTCCATGTGTGTACTCTCCTGTGCCTGAGCACATATGCACATACAAATAGGTTAAAAGTTCAAAACTTAAAAAAAAAATAAAGTGAATGGAGAGATGGCTCAGGGATTAGGATCACTGACTGTTCTTGCAGAGGTCCTGAGTTCAGTTCCCAGCACTCACATGGCAGCTCATCTGTAGTTCCATGGGATCTGATGCCCTCTTCTGGTGTACAGATGTACATACAGACAAAACACCATATACATAAAATACACAAATAGATAAAAATTTAAAAATAAGATAGATTGTAAAAGACATCCAATGTTGACCTCCAGTCTCCACATGCTCTGGTACACACAGGCACTCATACATAAATATGTATGCACACACACACAAACACACAAAAGCAAAAGAGAAAAGGAAAGGAAAAGGGAGGAGAGGATACTGCTAATTATGGTAGTGATGCCTGAGGAATGGACACAGGAAAACCAAAAGTTCAAGGTCATCTCAGTTATATGCCAAGTTCTAGGCTAGCCTGGGCTACATAGGACCCTGTCTCAAAAGAAAATTTGCCACCAGTGATGGTGACTGTCTTAGTTAGGGTTTTACTGCTGTGATCAGACACCATGACCAAGGCAAGTATTATAAAGGATAACATTTAATTGGGGCTGGCTTACAGTTCAGAGGTTCAGTCCAGTATCATTAAGGCAGGAACATGGCAGCATCCAGGCAGGCATGGTGCAGGAGGAGCTGAGAATTCTACATCTTCATCTGAAGGCTGCTAGCAGATACTGCCTTCCAGGCAGCTAGGATAAGGGTCTTAAAGCCCATGCCCACAGTGACACACCCAACAAGGTGTGTCACTCCAATAAGGCTA